TAGCTCTGACTTTCTTTTACTTTAGGTCCAAAAATTTCTTATGGTGATTTTAAATCTTGCAGATTTGTGGCCTGCCCCCTTCAGAGAGGACTTAGGCATGCTGTTACCACTTGGGATATTTAGAGAAGTGACTTGAATTTAGCTTATGGCCATTGGAAACTGTACAGTGATTAAGAACATAGACTCTGGGGCCAGACAGCCTCGGTTCAAATCCCACCTCTGCCATGTGCAGGCTTTTTCTGTCTCACTTCCTCTCTCTAGAAAATGGGGAAAGTGATTGTATCTGCCTCAGTGGGCCGTTCTAGGAATCAAATATATATACAGTGTTTGGGATAGTGCCTGGTCCATAGTAATCATTACGCAAGGGCTTGCTGTTATTATTATGACAAGTTCATTATTATATAATTAAAAGTGACACAATGACTGTCACCTACTGAGCACTTACTGTGTACCAGGCACTGGGACTCCCTCACTTAATCCTTGTAGCACTCCTGGTGAGGTAGGTATTTTCACACCCATTATGCAGATAAGAAAACTGAGGCTTGGTGAGGTCATGTGACTTGTCTGAGGTGACCCACCAGTAAGCGGCAATGCTAGGATTTGAGCAGAGCTCTGATTCTATGCTCTTCGTTAGTATACTAAGAGGCTTTTAAAACTCAAAACAAACAAACAAATAAACAAACAAACACCCCAAACAAAAAACCAACCAAACCAAAATAAAATAAAAGTAGCAAACAAAAACACATGTGCTTCCAGACTTTCAGAGCCTTTATGTCACCAGTGCCACTTGCTCCTATCAACCTCTGTCTGCTGGGGGAATCGTCCCCCCACCCTGTACAGAGATCTTCACAGTGGAAACGCCAGAGCTGATAAATAATGAAGGCTTTCCTTGATACATAAGTCGGTTGAAACTGGAGTATTCAGTACTTGTAAGTTAATCTCCCCTTGTGCAGCCAACCAACTAATTTGTCAACACGTTAACACAAGCAGCATACTCCCTGAAGCCACTGCTGGACCTATTAGCTCTCCAGGAGGATATGGGCCAGGAATCCAGGGTCTGGAAGGACTGTTTCCTTGATGCTCTAGCCTAATTAAGGGCGCCTTCTGGCCCTTCCCAGGCTGCAGCGTATTCAGATATGAAATCCGCAAAGCAAGCTTCCATGGGGATGGTCACGGTGCTGGGGAGACTGCACCTTATCAAGGCAAGTGCTTCGTAACTGACAGAGTAAGTTTACACCCGCTATTCGCCTACTGCTAACTTATCTGTGTGGTGTTTCTGCGAGGATAGTTATTCCTATTGGACACATGAGGGGTGGACAGGGGCAGGGACTTTTCCAGGGGCACACATGGGTAAGTGACAGAGCTGGTATGGGATCCTGAGCTAAGAGCATGCTGTGGTGGGGAACAGTAGATTCTGCCCAGGCCACAGGCTTCATAGCAGAGGCGGTGTTTGTGCAGGCCTTGAAGGACATGAAGGTCTGCCAGGGGACAAAGAAGGCTGTGCAGCTGAGCAGACAGCATGAGCAAAGGCCCTGGGGTCTGTGAGGAAGCAGGAGGCTCCTCATGATGCTCACTCCCCTCCGCCTTTTGGGATGAGTCAGTGAGTTGAGCATGTGGGGTCTCATCCAGGGCTGTGGGGTCTCATTCAGGGCTGCGGCATCTGATGGGTGGGTCTGTGGGCGCAGCCCAGCAGCCCCCGAGGGGCATCTGGCCAGGCTGCACTACTGTGCTGGAGGAGCGGGGGCTCAGGGGGGCGCTGGAGGGGCTCTGTGTGAGCTCCTTTCTGTTGAGATGAGAGAAGCGATCTGGCGCTCAGGCAGGGGTGCTCCTCCACACACCCACAACCACACACACACACCACACACAATGCACAGAACCAGACGAATACCCCCCCACAACACGTGTGTGTGTGTGTGTGTGTGTGTGTGCATGCGCGTGCGCACCCTCCCACGGCTCTGACACCCTTGCCCACCATCTGGGCCCACAGTTGGGGTCAGTCGCAACCCCATAGTTAAGGACAGTGCCTGTGCGACCCCTTGGGCCTCCCACCCCACAGCTCCTTTCCTGCATCCCTTACCTTGGTCAGGTGAAGTTTTCCTCCAGAGCCCCTGGTACAGATAATTAGGTGCTTAGAAAACAGGAAGCACTGTCGCTCGCCCTCTTTCTTTAGGGACAGAGACCCCAGGCGCCCCCTGGTGATCTTGCCCTTTTCGGACATGGGCACCTGGATGAGGGAACCTGTGGGTGGAGGAGAAAGACCTTGAGCCTGCCTCCCAGGATGCCCCCTGCCTCTGACCCGGCTCTGAAAGTTGCAATGCCAGTGGCAGTGGCGGTGGACAAGGCGGTCCCAGTTCCTGGTAGCGAACACTCCCTGGGACTCTCCTTCCAGCCCCTTTTGGGTCCAGAGGGTGAGGGCTGGAGGGAGGGATGATCAGAGAAGCTCCATGTAGGCTCTTCACCCTCCAGCCAGGGGCCAGGGACTGGGCATGCAAAAGAACCCTAAAGGGCATGGCCTGTGTGGTGGGTTGGGTTAGGGGGAGCTGGCTCCAGACCCCAAGGGCTCAACACCTGCTGCCACGGCAGACATCACCAATCAATTTCCACACTGCACTGAGGAGCCCAGACAAAGCCTTATCATCTGCAACACAGAGAGCCTTTGCCTGCCTCTCAGCAGTGCTGGGCCTCTCAAATACTGCTCCCAAGGTAAGCCAGGCTGAAGCATGGGGAAGACCTTCTGCCCACAAGAACCACTGTAAACACAGCCTCTTCTAAGAGGCAGAGGATGGGGAGCAAAGGACAGAGGGGTGGCCCCAGCACCGACCTCCTCTCGGACATGGACAACACTTGGGATTCACAGGCCAATCATTATCTGTCCTCCTCCCCCACCCAATATTTTTTCCCTAAAAAGGACATGTCAGTGTTTACTATGACATACAATAGACAAATCAAGGCCATCTGGGTAGAATTATGTTTACATCTGGAGAGAAGAAAACTGTGAAAACCAATAATATCTGCATCTATATGTATAGATACCGACATCTACATATAGCTGTTGCATTCTGCCAGCAGCCCCAGAATACTCCACCATCACATTAGCAGGTTGTGGCACGTGGAAGCCAGACCAACTGGTGGTGTCTCCAAGTACGACCTCCCTCCTGCAGCTGGGGCCCACCTGGCAGGGGCACTGGAGGCAGGGTCAGAGGCCATACCTTGTCTCACAAAGGTCTGGCTGGTGTCTAGGAGAATCTCGCAGCCTTCAATGATCATGCGCTCGATGGCCAGGTTTTTCCGGATGTTCTCCGTCTCACTTACTTCATCATGCATTATCCTGTGGGGACAAGAAACAGCATAGTCAGAGACAGGCTGCCCCCATCTCCCAGGGAGGAGAGAATGCCAAGTCTCTGGCCAGACCTAAGAAGAAAGCCTGTCGTCCAGGATCTCAGGTGGGGCCTGTAGTCATGAAGGGGCAGGGGGTGCACATCTACTGAGTGCCTGCAGTGTTCTGGGCACTTTACAGGTGTGATCTCATTTTATCCTTCTGACAGCTCAAGGAGGCAGGTGTTCTTAGCTTCAGAAAAAAGGAAATAAAAGTTAGCAGCTAAGAGGCAGGTCTGTCAGATTCTGGAAGTCTGAACCATGTAGAACAGGGACAGCAGGTCCAGAGCAGCACTGGGAGAGATGGGCGTACAGGAGACACCCTTTGTTCAGTGCCCTGCCCCCACCCCCACTGCCCATTCCCTTCCATAGAGCAAGCAAAGTTCATTCCTGCCTCAGGGCCTTTGCACTTGCTGTTTCTGCCCCTGAATCCTCTTTCTCCAGATATTTCTATGTTTGTTTCCTTAATGTTGCTTGGGTCCTGGACAGGCTTATTTCTTGGTGCAGCTGGCAGTCCAGCTGGCTCAGGGAAGTACTGACCTCGGTCTACTTCTGTAGGCTCTGGCACTTCTGGGAGGCAACACAGACAACGCTCCCATTAATCCCTGTGCTGACTGCTGCAACACCCCTTCTCTCCAGCAGGTGGCACCATTTAACCGCTTTTTAAAAATAGCGATGGTGGGAAAAGGTGGGTGTGAGCTGCCAAATTTTACCTTGAAGGGTTTCCAGGAATTTCAGGAAGATAGTAAATAATTTAGGGGTGGGGCGGAGGAGGGGCCTGGAAAAAGTAGCCCATCAACTCCACGCAAAGCACAAAGGCTTTCACTTGTCTGCTGATGCCTGCAATTCTACAGTTAAGACCACCAGGAATGCTGGTTAACAGGCATTGCTTACAAAGTCCTCTTGTAGATAATTTAAACCCCACAACAATGAAAGATGACACTGCTGGAGCTGGATTTGATTAATGGAATCAGCATGACACTGAGCAAATTACTGATCCTTAGTTTCCTCATCTGTAGAACGCTGGGGTGAAGACGGGGGTAAAGTATTTCAGGGGCTGGCCCCATGCCTGGCACATGGCAGGTGCTGAAAAAAGGGTAGTGATCACTGTAGCTATTATCACTGGTTGGAAAAGTATTGTTATTAGCTATTTTTTAGCCTTAAACTCACAAGACTGCCACTTTAATAAACAGACTGGGGCATCCAGAGGGGGTCTTTTCCTTGGGAGCCTCAGTCTCCCACTTTCCTCCCCAGCAATGCTCTTCTCAGAAGCCCAGGCCTGATGTCTAAGAGGCAGGCACCTTCAGGTATACACTAGTCCCTAGAGATGGGTTCATTTCTGGAAGTAGCTAGTGCTAGTTAGAACCACTTCTCTTGATGAGGGTGGGGGTCTTACTGAGGAAGGCTGTACTTCGTAAAACACAGGGGGGTGATTTCAAAGCAGCAAAACTAGCTTCCCAATTAGACATGCATAAACTGAGACTGCTCAGGGTAAGCTCCAGCCCCAGGCTGGGGTTAGTGTGGGGAACACCATGTGCACACCGAGCTGGGGAGCTCTGGGAAAGCAGTGTGAGTTTCGAGGGCCTGAGGCTCCTGGCAGACTGGAGGTGATGACTTGGGTTACCAGCGAGCACAGGATACAGGAATTCATGACAAAAGGCAGGATGAAGCCCAGTCCCCAGAGGGGAGGAGTGTTTCTGAGCACAGCTCAGGAGGGGGTTGGCTATCTTATGGCTTCCTGCCTGGTCAGGGAGCTTTCCTCAGTTCCCCCATGGGAGGGGGAGAGGAGGATGAAAGGGCTGTCGTCATGGAGATAAGAAAACCCTCTTCTGTGCCACTAGGGCTGGGTTCAGGGCCAGGTACAGGTGGCTGGATGGAAGAAAGGAAGAGTAGGCTGTACACCCAGGATCTCGGGGGAAANTGAGGTCAGTTACTCACTTTCAACTATTCGGAATATCTGGGAAAATACCTCCCATGCTTGACTGTGTGAGCAGACTGTGTGAGCACCTCTTGGGTGTGAGATCCCTTGATACTGTAGTGAGCGTTAAGAGTGACCACAACTGTGGTGGCTATAAGACATGTCCACACATTCTTTGATACTCTTTCCTCCAAAAGCTGAAGCCTCATTCCTTCCCTCTTGAGTGTGGGCTGGCTGTAGTGACTTGCAGCTAACTGAAGGAATAAAGCAGAGGTGAGGGTGTGCGGCTCTGCAGACGGCAGCTGTCTGTCTGCCTCCTTCTCAGAGCACCTGTCCTGGCGGAAGCCAACTGCCGTGTTGTGGTGAGAGGTCGACAAAGGTGGACCAGAAGCCTCCAGACAACGGCCACATGAGTGCGCCATCTTGGAAAAGGATCCTCTGGCCCCCGACAGGACCGGCAGCCCACCTGACATCTCGACTGCAAACCCACGAGGGACCCTGGGCCAGGGCCACACAGGCAAGTCACTCCTGATGTCGTGACTCACAGAAACTGTGCGGGAACTACGTGAGGGTAATTTGTTACATAGCAACAGGTAATACGGCAACTGATAATAGAGACCTGGCTATACGGCTAATCCACGTATGAAATGCTTGGCAGGCAGAGGGGGCTGGAGAGAGCATCAGAGCGGGCCCCCACTCCCTGCGTCCTGCTTCTTGTTTTGCTCGTTGGGGGTCTTGGGGTAGCCACCAGGATTTGTTGGGCAGGAACCTTGTCCAGTGATGTCACTGGGCTTGATCATCTTGAAAGCCCCATATAGCTCTGACTTTCTTTTACTTTAGGTCCAAAAATTTCTTATGGTGATTTTAAATCTTGCAGATTTGTGGCCTGCCCCCTTCAGAGAGGACTTAGGCATGCTGTTACCACTTGGGATATTTAGAGAAGTGACTTGAATTTAGCTTATGGCCATTGGAAACTGTACAGTGATTAAGAACATAGACTCTGGGGCCAGACAGCCTCGGTTCAAATCCCACCTCTGCCATGTGCAGGCTTTTTCTGTCTCACTTCCTCTCTCTAGAAAATGGGGAAAGTGATTGTATCTGCCTCAGTGGGCCGTTCTAGGAATCAAATATATATACAGTGTTTGGGATAGTGCCTGGTCCATAGTAATCATTACGCAAGGGCTTGCTGTTATTATTATGACAAGTTCATTATTATATAATTAAAAGTGACACAATGACTGTCACCTACTGAGCACTTACTGTGTACCAGGCACTGGGACTCCCTCACTTAATCCTTGTAGCACTCCTGGTGAGGTAGGTATTTTCACACCCATTATGCAGATAAGAAAACTGAGGCTTGGTGAGGTCATGTGACTTGTCTGAGGTGACCCACCAGTAAGCGGCAATGCTAGGATTTGAGCAGAGCTCTGATTCTATGCTCTTCGTTAGTATACTAAGAGGCTTTTAAAACTCAAAACAAACAAACAAATAAACAAACAAACACCCCAAACAAAAAACCAACCAAACCAAAATAAAATAAAAGTAGCAAACAAAAACACATGTGCTTCCAGACTTTCAGAGCCTTTATGTCACCAGTGCCACTTGCTCCTATCAACCTCTGTCTGCTGGGGGAATCGTCCCCCCACCCTGTACAGAGATCTTCACAGTGGAAACGCCAGAGCTGATAAATAATGAAGGCTTTCCTTGATACATAAGTCGGTTGAAACTGGAGTATTCAGTACTTGTAAGTTAATCTCCCCTTGTGCAGCCAACCAACTAATTTGTCAACACGTTAACACAAGCAGCATACTCCCTGAAGCCACTGCTGGACCTATTAGCTCTCCAGGAGGATATGGGCCAGGAATCCAGGGTCTGGAAGGACTGTTTCCTTGATGCTCTAGCCTAATTAAGGGCGCCTTCTGGCCCTTCCCAGGCTGCAGCGTATTCAGATATGAAATCCGCAAAGCAAGCTTCCATGGGGATGGTCACGGTGCTGGGGAGACTGCACCTTATCAAGGCAAGTGCTTCGTAACTGACAGAGTAAGTTTACACCCGCTATTCGCCTACTGCTAACTTATCTGTGTGGTGTTTCTGCGAGGATAGTTATTCCTATTGGACACATGAGGGGTGGACAGGGGCAGGGACTTTTCCAGGGGCACACATGGGTAAGTGACAGAGCTGGTATGGGATCCTGAGCTAAGAGCATGCTGTGGTGGGGAACAGTAGATTCTGCCCAGGCCACAGGCTTCATAGCAGAGGCGGTGTTTGTGCAGGCCTTGAAGGACATGAAGGTCTGCCAGGGGACAAAGAAGGCTGTGCAGCTGAGCAGACAGCATGAGCAAAGGCCCTGGGGTCTGTGAGGAAGCAGGAGGCTCCTCATGATGCTCACTCCCCTCCGCCTTTTGGGATGAGTCAGTGAGTTGAGCATGTGGGGTCTCATCCAGGGCTGTGGGGTCTCATTCAGGGCTGCGGCATCTGATGGGTGGGTCTGTGGGCGCAGCCCAGCAGCCCCCGAGGGGCATCACACCCAGGATCTCGGGGGAAAAAGGATAGCAGTCTTAAGCCAAATACCATGACACCCACATGCCACCTACATCCCTGTTTGTACCAGGACAGGGCATCCCCCAGTGATGAGGAGCCCTGATGACTTACAGGAATCCCAAGGCTTCTCTCTGGGGAAGACTGTGCAGGATTTGGCTCCCTGGGTGTGGGAGAACTGGAGTGTCCCCTCCCGCAATGGTTCTGTTCCTTTGCAATCGCACCCTGATGACACCCTTGTCCTGATTCTGCACCCTGGGATCTGGAACCCATCTGGGCTTGGGAAGGATTGGGGACAGCCTGTATGTACCCCGCCCTGGTCCAGCCTGGTCCTCCCTCTGCCCAGTGGGAGCCACAGCCTGACTGGCTGCCCTTCACTGGACTCAGGAAGCCGTTCAGGTCACCGAGTGGCTGACAGGGTCCTGGGTAGTACTGGGCTGGACCCCACACACTGCAGACTGATCCTCCTTTGCAGCCTCGGGCAGCCCATCTCTGACACCTCTTGGTGGAGACCCCGGGCTCAGCCTTTGGTTCTTGCCTTTTTCCTGCCTAACCTCACTCACCAGTTCTGTGACTTGAACCATCTCCAAGCTGATGACTCCTGAATTTCTCTCTCCCCGCAACTCCAGACTGAAACACCCCACACTCCCTTCTTGTCATCTGCACCTGGATGTCTCGTTGGTATCTCAAGTTCAACATGTCCTCTAATCCTGCCCCTCCTGCAGTTTTCTCCATCTCAGTTAATGACAACTCCATCCTCTGGCGGCTCAGCCAAGAATTCTGGAATCACCCTTGGCTTCAATCTCTCTCTCACACCTCACATCTAATCCATCAGAAAATCCAGTTGGTTCCACCTTCAAAATATAGGCAGGATTTGAACCCATTCCTGGCTCTGCTGCCACACCACGTGCAGGCCGCCTGTCTGCTGCTTGGGGTGCTACAGGAGCCCCTTCCTGGTCCCTCTGTGCTGCCGGGCAAAGGAAGGTCCCCTTGGTCCTCGGGGGCTGGGAGGCCAGGAGAGGGGCCTTGAGCGGAGGACTGGGCCTCTGGAACTGGGCTTAGCCACCCACTGTCACCATCTGTGTTGATTGGAGACTTGGGCACACAATGGCCTGTCACCCAGGACCCCGTCTGGGGTCCTCTAACTGCGGGTTTTTGACACATTGACATGGAGAACAGAGAAAATGGACACAGAGTGTCTGGGAATCCCTGAGCAGCTCCCTCCCTGGGAGATGGGTCCATGTGAGGGTTCAGGGCCTTCCCTTGGAGCCCATCTGTGCCAGGGAAACAGCACACTACCCACGCCATCCCCTGGCTTCCCACCTGGGCTTGAGTTGTAACCTCAGGACTGCTCCAGGAGACAGGCTGTGCCCCTTCCTCACAGCCCCACCCTGTCCGCCATGGGGGGCGCCGAGGGGTGAGGCTCACCTGGACAGCTCCTCCAGTTTGGACTTGGCGTAGTCCAGGCTGTTGCGTTCCACGTGCTCATGAGGCGTGTGGGCCAGGAGCTCGTGGAGTGTCAGTATGTACCTGGGGATCTGCAGGCAGGCAGGGGAGAGGCAGGGAGACAGGGAGATAGGGATGTGGAGGAACAGAGAGGGACAGAGAGCCAAGGAGGGACAAAGACAGGGAGCCAGAGAGAGAGAGTGCCAATCAGAGAGCGAGAGAGACAGAGAGAGGCAGAGGCCGGTTCTTCCAGTCCAGATGACTTCCTCAAATAAGGCTGAGGAAGGAAACAGGCTGAACTTATAAGATCATTCTAATTTGGAGGCTCTTCTAGGGTCTTGCCTGGGGCTCTGCTCTGGCAGGAGGCAGGGCCTGGGAATGGGCTCAGGAGACAGGAGGGAAAGGGTCTGCTGATGGCCCTCCTGCACTGCCTGTTCTATTCCATGGCCAGCTGGCCCTAAGCAGCCCAGAGCAGGGCATGTGCCTCCTGGCCGAGGCCCCATTCACTGTGGCACCATGAAGCACTCCAGATGCAGCCCCTACCAGCTGTGGCCTCACATAGCTCCCAAGTCCCCTCTAGCATGCACCCTCCAGGAGGGGCTGGGCAGCCACCTGGAACATGGGGTAGGTGAGGAAGGTTTCCAGCGTCCTCTCCTCGCAGTCGGGCTTGGCCTCGTAGTGCTTTAGCAGCTTGTCGAAGTCGCGGTTCTGCTTGCAGTGGGCCAGGATCTGCAGGCTGTACTGGTGATTACGCACAAACTCCTGGTAGATGTTGAGCATGGGCAGCAGGATGTCAAACAGGTCAGCTGGAAGGAGGGTGAGTGTCAGCGTGCAGCCAAGGGCACTCTTGTGGGGATGGATGCCTGCATGTAGGCCCCCGGCTCGCCCAGCCCCACCCAGAGGGGCCGGGGTCCAGCCTCCCCCCACCCCTGGAGAGGCCCCTGCCTTTGCAGATGATGCTGGTACCACTGCCCCTTCCAGGGCAAGAGAGGTGGGCCCAGTCACTGGGACCACATTGGAACCACAGAGTTTTAGAGATGCGGGACCCTCTCTAGCCTGACACCTGTGAATGGAGAGTCAGAGAGAGAGGAGGTGCAGTGGACACTGTGGGGTGCTGCCCCATTCCCGTCAGGACCCAGGCGCTCGCCCCCCAGCAGCTGGGAGTGCTGGGGCTGACAGTGCTCAGCTGGTCCCTCTCCGGGAACTGCTCTCAGCTGAAGGAAGCTGCCCTGTCCCATCATACCCTATCCAGTGATGGGTGCCTGTGTGGGTGTCAAGGCCAGCCCCTGCCTCAATTCAGGACATCTCTGCAGGTCCGCCCCCAGCTCCGGAGCTTCCCATGGGGCCGGCTGAGGCTTCTGTTGTGTCTGCAGGTGGCCCAGCTCCTCCCTCTTCCCGTCCCATGCCCATGTCATTGCTGAGGATGCTTCCTGAGAGGCCCCCTTCCAGAATCTCCCTCCTGCAACAGAACTGACCCACCACGGTCACAGCTGAGTCAGCTGGCCTGGAGCTGGGTCTCCTGACTCCCCATTCCAGGGCTTTCCCATCCCACAATACATCCACCCGTGAGTCTCTGCCCCTCCGCCTGTCTGTCCTTGTCCTGGCACCCCAGTCTCTGCACCTATGGCTCATAAGGTGGATCCCCTCAAGCCCTAACCCCCCGGATAGAGACCCCCTCTGGTCTCTAACCTCTCGGATATACATCCTGTCCCCCTGTGCCCCCAAATGCCAACGAATCTCCCCAAGCCTGCCTTCAACATTTGAAAAGACGGGATGGAACCATAAGAAACCTCTTCTTACGACCTCATTTAAAAAAGACAAATATGCTTTCCTTGTAATCAGCTCTACACAGGAGCTCTTATAACAGGCATTCAACCACCCCACGGACAGTGTCCTCAACAATGCAACCATAGAAGATGCAGACCCCATCTTTCTAGGGATGCGTCTTCTTTTGACCTTGGAGAAAAGCAGAGGTCTTTGACTTGAGAAAAACCAGAAGAGGGCCCACTTCCCCAGGGCAGAGGAGCTCTGGAGGGGTGTGGGTCTGGCTCTGCAGCTCTACCTGGGCAGCCTCAGCCGTCCTCCACCTCCCTGAGCCACTTTCCTTGTCTCCATAGTGGAGGTGACACCAACATTCACCCTTACCTACTGAATTAAAGTGAAAAAATAAAGGTGACCCCCCAGTGCGGGAGAGGGTGAGGTGCAGAAAGTGCTCAGGGTGGTGCAGCCTTTTTTGGAACAACTGGAGAATATGTGCAAAGCAAGAGCGTTTAACGTGTTTATGCTGTTTGCTTTAGTAATTCTACTTTTAGAAATCTATCCAAGAAAGCGATCTCTAATCTGAAGAAATGGTTATTTCTAATAAAAAGATCTGGAACAACTCTAAGAGCCAGTGATGGGAGACTACACTGGCTACACAGGTGATGTTGCATTCACAGGGCACTGGAGCATTATGCAGCAATCAAAAAGCACATTTTCAGCCTCAGAAAGTGCTTATGCTATAATGTGAAGTAAAGGAGAACACAACACACAGCAAGATTCACATTCTATATTCAGTATGTTTACAATTATGTAAAATGGGGGAAAAAAACAAACAAACCCAAGATCTATGCAAAGAAAAAAATTGGAAGGAAAACACCAAAGTGTTTATAGTGGTTATCTTTGGGAAGCAAAGCTCTGGTTGATATTTTTAAATGTTTTCTACTTTTCTGGGTTTTCAAATTTTCTCAAATGGGTATGTATACATTCTTTTTAAAAGGGAAAAGTGGATAACAAACTAAAAATACATCACTTCCTCCTAGAAATACAGCTTTGGGCAAATTGTCTCTCCTCCTCTGCCCCTTCCAAGGGATTCTGTGGGTTGTAAAGAGCACCACTCTATTATGTGCTGAAAGGGGGCATATGCAACCTCGAGGGGTTGTCCTGGAGAGGGACTTCTCTGGGGGCCTCTGCGAGGCTGGCTACTCACCCAGCACCAGCGTGGGCCAGCTGGAGATGCGGGCCTTCAGGCCTTGGTAAAAGATCTGATGCAGAAACATGATGGTTTCACTGAAAGAGAAAGCACAGGGTGAGCTCTGGCCAAGGCACTCCCTGCCCCTCCAGAGATGACCCTTCCCCGAGACCAGTGTAAAATCAAAATGCAGCCCCCTTGTTAGAAGCGTATTAAGCATCTCAAAACAGCGACGACGGAGCGTTACACCAAGCACTGACTCCTCTACACACGGGGTCACATGCCCACGAAGCCGGCAGAGGTGGGAGCTGCTCTGCCCCACAGCTCCCGTGTCTCCTCAAGCCCCACCTTCGGGGAGCCCCTGTGGTGTCTTGGAGAAAAAGCCACTGACGATGTTAAGAGCCAGGGTTTGGGACCCACACAGAATGGGGCTTAAATCCACCTTATGTCCCCTCCCAGCTGTATGGCCTTGAGCAAGATGCTGAACGTCTCTGTGTGAAATATGAGGGGGAAATGAGGAAACCCCTGCAAGTAGTGGGACTTCTAAAGTGCCTGGTGCATAGTAGGCGCTCAGCAAAAGCTAGTTTGCCACCACCCTGATAACTGCCCCCCTTTTTTGGAATCTAAGTCAGAGAAGCCAAAAGACCAAGAGTTTCCTGCTAGCAAAGCCTCTACTTCGTCACTGTAGAATGTACTGTCATTGGTGGCTTAGCCCTGGGTGATGGGCCTCTGAGCATTCCCCTGCCAGCCATGTTGACTTTGCCCCCGATCCACACCTTTCCTCGCCCACTGATCCCCAAGCAGCTGGCCCCAGAACAGGGCCCCCGAGTGTCCCCTCTCCCAGGACAACCTGAGAGAACGTGGAGAACACGAGAGACTGTCTTCTGCTGGTTCCTGAAGGCACCCCCATCCCTTCTTCCTGACCATTTCTCCCTGGAGATCTGGCATTTCCCCAGGATGTCTGGGGAACTTTGTAGTGCACCCCACTTATAGATAGGAAAACTGAGGCCCAGAGAGGAGGAGTGAGTACCCCTGGGAGCCAGGGGCAGTCCTGGGCCTTTCCCTTTCCCTGGAATGGTCTCTGTCCTTCTTTACCACAGCAGGTGGCCACTGCTGGGTTATATTCCATACAGCTGTGCTCTCTGCGCCCTCCCTCCTCTGTGCATTCCCAGGACTTTGTTTGGCTGTTTGAGATGCCTGGTGTTTTCTACCTTGGGGAGCTGTCGTTGGACGCTGCCCTCTCCAAGTTTGTGCTCTGAGGGTGGCTCCTTCACCTGTGGGTCTCACTGTCGCAGCACAAGAGCAGGGGGCAGAGGGTGCTAAGCAGGCACAGAGATGCCCCTGAGCTGCAGCAGCAAGGGAGGCTGTGGGGGGCAGGGCATGGGCCCAAAGGACAAGGGGGCTTGGAGACGTGAGAGGCTCATGACCCCAGAGGGGTTGGAAATATGCTGCGCATCCCCCTTATGCACAGAAATAGGTGGGGTGGGGAGAAAGAGGGCATGAGATGGAAAGAAAGGGGTAAGGGAGGTGTGTGTGTGTGTGTGTGTGTGTGTGTGTGTGTGAGAGAGAGAGAGAGAGAGAGAGGACATGACACAACACCACCAGGCTAAAGAGCACAGCTAGCAACTCCATTATGTCCCATGGGATGTCAGAAGGAAAGGAAAACTTATGAAGACTGCATCCAGTAGGAACCTAACAAAATCTAAGTAGAGAAAACTTCCCGAGTTCTGAGTGTGGACCCTATCATTACTGTAGAGAGAGAGAGAGAGAGAGAGAGGACATGACACAACACCACCAGGCTAAAGAGCACAGCTAGCAACTCCATTATGTCCCACGGGATGTCAGAAGGAAAGGAAAACTTATGAAGACTGCATCCAGTAGGATCCTAACAAAATCTAAGTAGAGAAAACTTCCCGAGTTCTGAGTGTGGACCCTATCATTACTGTGAATTGCTGTCATCTCCCTAAAGTCCCAGGAGAAAGGGTCCCTCCAGGTATGGCAACATACTAATGACCCTCGGCAAGCCTGCTTTCTGTCCTGCTGTGGCTCCCGAACTAGTTTGTTGAATGGATAACACGTACCAATTCTAATAACTTTGGTAGTTCACACATGCAGACTCTTCAGAAAAGTTCAATAGCAAGAGACCAACCCAGAACAGCACAGCCCGTGAATGTGTCCAGAGGGAAGGGCACCTGACATGAGGTGGGAGGCATGGGGGTCAGGGGACTCTCAGGGGTTCCTGAGGGAGCTATATATGTAGATCTTGACATACATCTAGGTCCTTCTAGATCACCCTGAGCACTGCCACAGTGAGGCTCAGGGAAGCCATTCCCAGGCAGCTCCAGCAAACAACTGTTCAGGATATACCAGGGAGGAAAGGAAACTTCTTGAATTCCATTACTGCACAGGCTTGTGCGATAGCACATCACGGATATCATAAGCTAGAAATATAAAAATATAGTTGATGTAGCTTCCATTTTCAAAGTGTGAATTTTGAGATTTCATCTATAATCCCACTACTCAGAAATTACCATTGTTACCAACTGAAAAAGAAAAAAACAATTACATCATTTGACGTGGTTCGCTTTAAAAAAAAATATTGTTAGTGGGTTGGTTGAACATTTTTCCTATGGATTGGTCATTTGTACTTTTGGGAATTGCCTAGTCATGTCCACTTAGTATTTTTTCTTGTATTAATTTAAAATACCTATATATTAAGTACATAGTCTGACATACATCGTGGACATTTTTGCTCAGCGGTTTGCCCACTGGTCTTGTGTTTGGTGGTGGTGTAAAGGTTTCCCACTTGGTCTTGTGAGGTTACTGTCTTCTCTCTGCCTCTGCACTGGACATGACGCCTTCCCCCACTCCAGCACTGCATCCTTACTCAGTTCTTATTTTATTGCTTTATCTTTACATATAAATACTTAACTAGCATTTACTTTGGTGTAAGATGTGAATAAGAGATACAGAAGCAGTCTTTCCCTCAGTTTGGTTAGCCGATTGTCCAACTCCATTAATCAAATATGCTGTTTACTAACAAGCTGCTTTTTCAGTCAGTAAATTCTCATACATTCTTTTTTTTTTTTTTCTTTTGTCTTTTTTCCGTGTCCGGCAACGGATCGCAACCCTCAGTGTTGCCCCCGTACCGGACCAGGGACCGGCAACGGGATCGCAACCCTCGGTGTTGCTCCCGTGCCTCGCTCAGCCAGTGAGCGGGAGCCGGTCTGTATGTGGGATCCGAACCCTCGGACGGGAGCGCCGCCGCGCTTCCCAAGTGGCGCACTATCCAGTGCGCCACCGGGCCGGCCCAAATTCTCATACATTCTTAAGTCTCTTTCTGAATTTTCTATTTTATTTGGATGATCTATTGGTCTATTCTGGTATGAGTCTCCAGCTATTTTTATTACTACATAATATATTTACAAACCTCCATAATATATTTTAATTACAGGTCGGGAACGTTTCTTTCATTGTTCCTTTTTCAGAGCCTTATCTATTTGCATGTATTTATTTCTTCAACTGAACTTTAAAATCATTTCGCAAGGCTGCACTTTGATTGGAATTATATTAAACTTACAGAATATTCTGGGTGTAAAGGATATCTTTAAGACACGGAATCTTTCTATCCAGGATGCTGGTATGTCTCTCTACTTTCTGATGTCTTCATTTACGCCCCCCTCCCACAGGTCTTGTGTTTATTCCTAGATACTTTATGCTCTTGTCGCTATTGTGAATGGGATCCTTTTCTCATATTATATTTTCTAAGTGGTTCCTGTAGATATAGGGAAGAGCTACTGACTTTGATTCCTTTTTAATGAGCTTAACTCATAACAGTTTTGGTAGTCTTCCCGTTGATTCTGACCTCTGATCCACCCCACAGAGTGTTCCTTCATCGACTTCTCATCTCATTAAAGGGCAGCCCCATCCCCACTAGTCTCTAGGCAGAACCAGGGAGTCATCTGTCACCTCCTCCTCCCTTACCCCTAACTCACTCCATCAAAGTTGCTGACTCTGTTCTCTGCTATTACCCCTGCCACCCCCATCATCTCTGCCTGGACTATTTTCAGTGGACCCCTAACTGGTCCCCCGTTTCCACTCCAGGCCCTGGTCCACCCTTTCTCCACACAGCAGATTCATCTCTTAAAAATTTAGATCTGATCATGTGTAGTGGCCTTAACCTGGTCTTCAGTGCTCTGGAGGGACTGCTGCCCCCATTTGTCTCATGGGTAACTCTCTCTTCCCCACTTTCCTCCAGCCACTCTGACCTTCTTTAAGTTCTGTGAATTTGCCAAGCTTTTTCCTGTCTCAGAGCCTTTGCACAGGCCGTACCCTTTGCTTTTACTCCTAACTCAACTCTGTTTGCATTAGCTCCTCTGAGAGAGAGAGAGAGAGAGACTGTACATATGAAAATGTGCTATTTTGGGGCCGGCCCAGTGGTGCACTGGAGAGTGCGGCGCTCCCGCCGAGGGTTCGGATCCCATGTGGAGACCAGTTCCCGCTCACTGGCTAAGCACGGTGCAGTCGCAACACCGAGGGTTGCGATCCCGTTGCCGGTCCTCGGTACGGGCGCAACACCGAGGGTTGCGATCCCGTTGCCGGTCCTCGGTACGGGCGCAACACCGAGGGTTGCGATCCTGTTGCCGGTCCTCGGTACGGGCGCAACACCGAGGGTTGCGATCCCGTTGCCGGTCAGTAAAAAAGACAAAAAGGAAAAAAAAAAAAAAGAAAAAGAAAATGTGCTATTTTTAAATCAAGTTTTAGTAAGAAGAATTGGGAACGTTTCCATTTTTTTTCTATGTTCTGTAACATTTTAAATAGGAAAGACTGATTCTTTTAAAATGCTAAGTTTATTGTGACTCTTTAAAGGAAATACACCAGGCAGCTTTCCTAAACCTACGTGACCCTTTGCAGGTAAAATCCCTAGTAACATCTTGCAGAACTAGTCCTTCATTCATTCAACACATAGTCACTGAGTAGTTACTAGGTGTCAGGCACTTGGTTAGACGTCGGTCTCCCTATGTCGAACTCCAGCAATGATAAAAATGGAAATAGTCCCCATCAACAGGCTGCTGGATGCACAAGTCTAGCATGCACC